ACACTGTGCTGCTGGTTCGGGGCAGGGATGTGTCATTCTGTTCCTGCAGGTGTTAGGACTTCTTTTTGCCAGTTCTTCCAAGAAAGCATTTCCCGTGGGCAAACCTGCCTGGCAGGATGCCCCAACGCCAACACAGGCATCCTCAGCTTTGACAAACCTCCCACGCCGTGACACGTCCCCTTTGCAGGGGCAGATCCTGAGCTCCCAAGCATTTGGCTCTGGTTTTTGGCTCATGCTGGTCCATGGACAAGCTGGAAGCAAAGCATCCTCTTCCCAGCTTGGCTGCCAGTTTGGGAGCATCTCAGGCTTTTGGAGAATTTAGGTACATGGAGGTGGTGTTGGTTGTTCTCTGCATCCCTTGATATTTAAGGGAACTCAAGGAACAGCGAGGGCATGGGAACAAGGAAAGGAGCAGATGCCTCTCTCAATTTACAGGGATCAGCAACTGAGTGAGTCCTCAGCATAAGCAGGGTGTAACTGGGAGCAGAGTCTGCCTCACATACCATATGCTCCCAATCTACCACGTTCAATCAAGCCTAATAAAATTGATAGGGGAACATTGAAAATCTCGTGATTAATTCTTTATGATCTGTAATAGGGGAGCTGTGTGCCAATTACTCGAGTAAATCATTCATCAGAAAATAAATAGAGCTAACCTCCAGCACAAACACTAGAGGATTTCCACCAGGATTGCAGGTCTGGATTGCAGCATCGCACCGCTGGTGCCAGCATGTTATCTGATGGAGGACACAAGAGTAGCTGCAGTTTTGCTGCTTCTCCCCAAGGTCTCATCCCTGTGCTCCAGCACTATTTGTTGTCCTTCACTGTGTGTCAGTGCTCCGTCCTTGATCTCCATGACCCACCAGTCCAGGCCCTTGCAGGTTTGCAAGGGTTAAACCCATAGGGATCAGCTTTATTTCAGGGCACATTTGAACACTGGGACCATGGCACAGGAAAGGCGGCACAAAGGAATGGGAAAAAGGCCCCAGACCCATGGTGTGCCCATAGGACTTCTGTCAGCAAGGCACAAAGCTGGGGTGGGACCAGGCAGATTGCAAGCTTGGATACAAGAAACCAAGACTGCCAGCCAAAAGTGGCCCTTCCAGGATCACTGGAGATAGCCAGAAAGCCTGGCTCACTTGGCTGGAGCAAGGGGTGAGAGGGCAGCCACAGCAGCCACAGGCAAACAGGGGAGTTCATCAGCATGTCCTGCATCAGAGGATGGCAGCAAGAGTCACCTGTGGAGAGCGGAAGCCGAATGTCTTTTATATCCCTCATTTTCCTTTTTTTTTTTCCAGTAAGGAAATCAATCCTTTGGCCTGGAAACTTTCTCCTGAGCTTGTAAGAAGAGATGACCCTCTGTGCTGAAGTTACCTGGATGCAGTTTCCTGACCAATGTCCCATTTCTAAGGGAAACCCACCCAAGAGCACTCCCTGCCTGGGATTTCCACATGTTGGGAATTCCCTGGGCTGTGTTTGAATTGCTCCTGAGCAAATTGCATCTCACTAAGCCAGTGTGTCCTGCTAACACACATGCAGCATCCTTGACTGGACTGATGCAACTCCATATTCACCAGTGACCTCTTTGGACCATGGTGGGATTTCAAAGGGCACTGGGGAGTTCAAGCTGAGAAGAGAATTGGGACAGCTGAGGCATGCCCTCTTCCTGAGCTCAGTGCTTGGAAATGGAGAACTGGATAAAAGGCATGCCATGGGGAGAAGAGGAGGGATGGGGACACAAAGAAAAATCCAGTCCATCAGAAAGCCCTCTTTGTCTCCTTCACAGCTGCAGGGATCTATTGAAGGTGGGATGAAGACCAGTATGGAGGGGCCTTGCTGCCACAAACATCCCCTTTCCCTCTTACATGGAAAATCTTCCCTGGACAGGGGATTTGGCAGTAGGAATGGTGTGAGAGCTCAAGTGTCATTTCTTGCCCTAAAAGCTGCTGAGATGGTGGTAGGACACTGGGTCCTGCAGCCCATGCCTCCACTGGGGTGACAGGACAGACGTGACCGTCACCCCAGCTCTGCTGGCCTCAAACAAGGAGCCAGCGAGACAGCTCATCCCTCTGCACCTCCTCACTGTCCTCCATCCCTCAGCCAGACCCATTCCTCCTCCCACTGTGCCACAAAATCCTTGTCCTTTCCCAGCTGGCAGCACTGGCATCACCAGGACATCTTCCCCTTGCAGCCAGGAGGACAGTTTGGAGGTTTCTCCCTGCTAATTCCCTCCCGAAGGGGACATTCATTGCTTTCCCCATGGTATCCCCATCGCCCTTCCTGCTGCTTCCAAGCACCCAGCTGGTGGGACTCACAGAACAAACATCCTCCCACCTGCTCCTGAGGCCCAGCCCGGGAGATGGCAGAGGCAATAATTACACACTTGGCACAGCAGAATCATCCAGCACGAGGGAGAAGAGGCCGGAAGCAGCCAGAGGTCATCCAAGGGAAACACTGCACCCACCCAGAGTGCCTCGGTGTGTGCCTCACCCCAAAGCAGCCCAGTTTATACTGTGAATGTTCTAGACAGGTCCTGTGTGAGCACCCCGTGCCTGTGGGGAGGTGGGGGTGTGCTGGTGCAGTGAGGTGTTTGGAGCAGCAGAACCAAGGAAAGCCAGTTTCCTGTGGAGCTGAGCTGGGATCCCCTGGCTCTGCTGAGGCATATCCTCCAAGGATGCCATTTTCCTGGGGAGGGCTTCTTGGGAGCCATCACTCACACAGGCTTTCAGTACCTGTCAGGGCATGAGCACTGGGACATCCCGTCCCTTCCCCTCTCCCACAAGTCCTTGGGAAGGACACTTGCAGCTGATTCACACCAAATTCTTTTTTGAAGAAAATTTATTTCCTTGCAAAGCAGCGTCTGCAAAAGGAGAGACCCTCAGAGGTCTGCAGGGATTTCCCAAGCACAAGCAGGTCTGGGACTGCAGCCCATGAGGTGCATCAACTACAAGCATCCCAGAGAGGAGCAAAGAAGAGAAATAATGAGCAGTAATAATAATAACAGCAATTAAAAATATACCACACTGCCTGAAGGGAGAAGGCTGCAGTGAACTGTCCTTAAAATACATCCAGACTGGATGGCTTTACATTTTGCCCTGAAATGACAAGTATCAGTCAAGCAATATTTAATTTCCAGTGCCAGGGAGCCACTGGAGTTGTTTCCCAGCTCCTGGCTCTGCTGGGAGTGCTGAACAGAGGCAGGGCAGGGGATGGAAAGGGGTTGGGCAAGGGTCGGGCAGGGAATGGGCAAAGGTCATGGAATCATAGAATCTCAGAATGATTTGAGTTGGAAGGGACCTTAGAGTTCCAACCCCCTGCCATGGGCAGGGACACTTTCCACTAGACCAGGTTGCTCCAACCTCACCTTGAACACCTCCAGGGATGGGGCAGCCAGAGCTTCTCTGGGTGAAAGGGAATGGAAAAGGGGTCGAGCAGAGGTCAGCAGGAGAGAGGGCAGGGAGGGCAGGGACAGGCAGGGGTTGGCAGTGCCCGTCTCTGCCCCCGCAGCAGCGGTGGCCCCTCTGTTCTCGCCCACTCTCCCCCGGGGCTGCCCCACTCCCATTCCCACTCCCAGCCCCACTCCAGCTGCCCGGGGGGGTCGAAGCCCAGGCCCGGCGGCCGGACGCTCTCCCGCAGCCGCGGCGGAGGCGAGGTCAGTGCCATGCCCGTCCCGCAGGCCCCGGGCCCGGCGCGGCTCCTCCCGGGGAGGCGGGACCGCGGCTCCGGCAGCGCCTCGGCGGGCCCCGCG